GGTGCAGTGGTCAGGCATTCCTACAGGACCTCCTCCCTCAGGATCCTGTTTCAGGTGCCAGAAATCTGGCCACTGGGCCAAGGAATGCCTGCAGCCAGGGATTCCTCGCAAGCCATGTCCCATCTGTTCAGGGACCCACTGGAAATCAGACTGCCCAGCTCACCCAGCAGCCACTCCTAAAGCCCCTAAAGCTCTGGCCCCGTGCTCTTTGACTCCTTCCCAGATCTGCTCAGCTTAGCAGCTGAAGACTGACACTGCCCCATCACCTCGGAAGACCCCTGGACCATTAGGGATGCCAAGCTTTGGGTAACTGTCACAGTGGAGCATAAGTCCATCCCCTGTTTAATTGATACAGGGGCTACTCACTACACATTACCTTCTTTTCAAGGGCCTGTTTCCCTTGCCTCCATAACTGTTGTGGGTATTGAAGACCAGGCTGCTAGACCCTTTAAAACTTCCCAATTTGGTGCCAACTTGAACAATATTCTTTTATGCACTCCTTTGTTGTTATCCCCACCTGCCCAGTTCCCTTATTAGGCTGAGACATTTTAACCAAATTACCTGCTTCCCTGACTGTTCCCGGACTACAGCCACATTTCATTGCTGCCCTTCTTTCCAACCCAAAGCTACCTTCACGTCTTCCTCTTGTCTCCCGACATTAACCCACAGGTATGGGACACCTCTACTCCCTCCCTGGCAACCAATCACACACCCATACCTAATCACCCTTACCCTGCTCAACACCAGTATCCCATCCCACAACAGGCTTTAAGGGGATTAAAGCCTGTTATAAACTCGCCTTCTACAGCATGAGCTTCTAAAGTCTACAAACTCTCCTTACAATTCCCCCATTTTACCTGTCCAAAAAATGGACAAGTCTTACAGGTTGGTTCAGGATATGTGCCTTTTAAACCAAATTGTTTTGCCTATCCACCCTGTGGTGCCCAACCGGTACACTCTTGTCCTCAGTACCTCCCTCCACAACTCACTATTCCATTCTTGATTTTTTTTTTTGAGACAGAGTCTGGCTCTGTCACCCAGGCTGGAGTGCAGTGGCGTGATCTTGGCTCACTGCAAGCTCTGCCTCCCAGGTTCCCACCATTCTCCTGCCTCAGCCTCCGCGAGTAGCTGTGACTACAGGCACCCGCCACCACGCCTGGCTAATTTTTTGTATTTTTGTTTTTAGTAGAGATGGGGTTTCACTGTGTTAGCCAGGATGGTCTCGATCTCCTGACCTCGCGATCTGCCCATTTCAGCCTCCCAAAGTGCTGGGATTACAGGTGTGAGCCACCGCGCCTGGCCATATTCTTGATCTTAAAGATGCTTTTTTCACTATTCCCCTGCACACCTCGTCTCAGCCCCTCTTTGCTTTTTCCTGGACTGAACCTGAGACCCATCAGTTCCAGCAGCTTACCTGGGCTGTACTGCCACAAAGTTTCCGGGATAGCCCTCATTACTTCAGCCAAGCTCTTTCTCATCATTTACTTTCTTTCCACTCCTCTGCTTCCTACCTTATTCCAAACATTAATGACCTCCTACTCTGTAATCCCTCCTTTGAGTCTTCGCAAAGCTTGGGTTGGGATTTGAGAGATCAGCCGGACACAGTTGGCAGGGAAATTATGCCAAGGTAGGTAATGGATGGGGAAGAAATTTGAGCTTTGGAGGGGGATACCTGATATCCTTTGGAAAATAAATGTTGAAGGAGCAGGACGGTATCTTGCTGCAAAGATACTCCCCTCATATTTGGACTCCCCACAACACAAGTTACTATTCTTGTGGCTGCTCCATTATGCATCTCTCGGTAAAGACCCACTGGAATTCCCTTGGGTAACCTTTCACCTTCTCTATGCTCCTTCACTCTTCATCTGCAAAGCCCAACTACACATATCACTGAAACAATTGGGGCCTTCCAGCTCTGTATTACAGATAAGCCCTCTATCAATACTGGCAAACTTAAAAACATTAGCAGTTACTATTGCTTAGGAGAACATTTACCCTGTATTTCACTCCACCCTTGGCTACCTTCCCCTTCCTCTTCAGACTCTCCTCCCAGGGCCTCTTCCTGTTTACTTATACCCAGCCCCATAAATAACAGTGAAATGTTGCTCGTAGACACTTGACACTTTCTCAAACACCAAGAAAATCGAAACTCCCCCTCTATACAATTACCCCATCAGTCCCCATTACAACCTCTGATGGCTGCCGCCCTAGCTGGATCCCTAGGAGTCTGGGTACACGACACCTCTTTTAGTACTCCTCATCTTTTCACTTTGTATTTCCAAGTTTGCATTGCACAAGACCCCTTCTCCTGTGGCTCCTCCACTTACATGTGTCTACCTGCTAATTGGACAGGTACACTCGTTTTTCTTATTCCCAAAATTCAATTTGCAAATGGGACTGAACAACTTCCTGTCCTGCTCATGACACCAACCAGACAAAAGAGTTATTCCTCTAATCCCTCTGCTTGTAGGGTTAGGACTTTCTGCTTCCACTATTGCCCTTGGAGCTGGAATGGCAGGCGTTTCAACTTCTGTCACGACCTTCCATAGCCTTTCAAATGACATTTCTACTAGCATTACAGATCTATCACAAACTTATCAGTCCTTCAGGCCAAGTTGACTCTTAGCCGCAGTTGTCCTCCAAAATCGCTGAGGCCTCGACTTACTGCTGAAAAAGGAGGACTCCGTATATTTTTAAATGAAGAGTATTGTTTTCACCTAAATAAATCAGTCTGGCCTGGTATATGACAACATAAAAAAACTCAAGGATAGAGTCCAAAAACTTGCCAACCACGCAAATAATTACTCTGGACCCACCTGGACACTTTCTGAGTGTCTTGGCTGCTCCCTATTCTTAGTCCCAGACCATCACCAATCATTTTATACAACAAATGCTACTTTTAACAACCCCACAGTACCATCCTCTGCACCAAGATCTCCCCACAGCCTAAATCTCTATTCCTTGTAACTCATAAAATTTTCCTTAAGGTGCCCATGCAGCCCCTAATCCCACTTGAAGCAACCCTGAGAAACATCACCCATTATCTCTCCATACCACCCCCCAAAATTTTTGCCACCCCAACACCTCACCACTGTTTTATTTTTCTTATTAATATAAGAGGAATGTAAGGCCTCTGAGCCCAAGACTGCATGTATACGTCCGGATGGTCTGGGGCAACCAAAAAGTACAAACGTGAAACAGCCAGCTCCCGTCTTAACTGATTGACCAACCTTACGACATTCCATGACGACTTGTTCCTGCCTTGCCCCAACTGATCGATCGACCTCGAGACATTCTTCTAGACAATGAGTCCTATGATCTCCCACCATGTACCCTGTGACCCCCTTCTCTGCTGATAATAGGTAACCACCTTTAACTGTAACTTTCCACTGCTTACCCCAGTCCTATAAAACTGCCCTACTCCTATATCTCCCTTTGTTGACTTCTTTTTTGGACTCAGTCCGCCTGTACCCAGGTGAAATAAACAGTCTTGTTGCTCACACAAAACCTGTTTGGTGGTCACTTCACACGGACAAGTGTGACACTGCAGTCTGCTTAAGGGTGGAGGGTGGGAGGAAGGAGAGGCGCAAAAAAAAAAAAAAAAAACTGTTTGGGGCTGGGCATAGTGGCTCACGCCTGTAATCCCAGCTACTTAGGAGGCTGAAGCAGGAGAATCCCTTGAACTTAGGAGGTGGAAGTTGCAATGAGCTGAGATCATGCTAGTATACTATGGCCTGAGCAAGAAGAGCAAAACTCAGTCTCAAAAAACTACATAAAAAAGTAACTATTGAGTACTGGGCTTAATGCCAAAGTGATGAAATATTCTGTACAACAAAACCCCAATGACACGAGTTTACCTGTGTAACAAACCTTCACATGTAGCGCCAAACCTAAAGTTAAAAAATGAATATAATTCTTAAAAAATTTACTGCTGATTTTTTTCTGAAGTCTTATAACGATGCAGAAATACACATATACGAGACTTGCTCTGACACATGGCACAGAATTGACAGTAGCGGCTCCCCAGTGAGGTTGGAAAGAGGGTGGAGGATGTGACAGAGAAAGGAGATGCTTTGTGGCCAAGGGACTTAGACGCAGCTTTGCTTAGTTTTACCACAAAACAAATATATTCATTGGCCAGGTGTAGTGGCTCATGCCTGTAATCCCAGCACTTTGGGAGGCCTAAGGCAGGCGGATCACCTGAGGTCGGGAGTTCGAGACCAGCCTGGCTTAGTTTTACCACAAAACAAATATATTCATTGGCCAGGTGTAGTGGCTCATGCCTGTAATCCCAGCACTTTGGGAGGCCTAAGCCAGGCGGATCACCTGAGGTCGGGAGTTCGAGACCAGCCGGGCCAACATGGAGAAATCTCATCTCTTCTAAAAATACAAAATTAGGCGGGCATGGTGACGCATGCCTGTAGTACCAGCTACTCAGGAGGCTGAGGAAGGAGAATCACTTCAATCCAAAAGGTGGAGGTTGCGGTGAGCAAAGATCACGCCATTGCACTCCAGACTGGGCAACAAGAGTAAAACGCTCTCAAAATAAATAAATAACAAATACATACATCATGTGATGTTTAAGTGTAAACGTATATATTTACTAATAATTGGTGGGGCTGGGCACCGTGGCTCATGCCTGTAATCCCAGCACTATAGGAGGCTGAGGCGGAAGGATCACCTGAGGTCAGGAATTCGAGACCAGCCTGGCCAACATGATGAAACCCCGTGTCTACTAAAAGTACAAAAAGATTAGACAGGTGTGGTGGCACATGCCTGTAATCTCAGGTACTCAGGAGGCTGAGGCAGGAGAATCACTTGAACTTGGAAGGTAGAGGTTGCAGTAAGCCAAGATCATGCCACTGTACCCCAGCCTGGGTGACAGAGCAAGAATCCATCTCAAAACAATAATAATAACAGGTGGAATGAGAATATGGCTCAATCGTCTAGGATATGAAAGTACTTCTCCCATTGTTGAGAAAAACTGTAACTTTTTTTTTCCTTGTAAACAGTAGAATTTTATACAAATATAAAGTTTTGCACCTTCAAAGTTATCACTCCAATAAGACACTTATTCAATTAAACAAATAATCTTAAAAACTATTTTAACAATGTACGAATATATTCACAACATAACCTGCTGATTAAGACTTCAACAAAGTTTATAATACCTATAACAGAATTTACAAATGCCTATAATAGTTTCTGGATTGGTTTACAGTTACACAGAATGCTTTAAGAAATACCATTAATACAAATGCATAATTTACAATATCCCCATTATAGCAAGAAAAAAATAGATTCAGAAAATAAAATATCTTTTAGGCATTTATTATGCCAAGTATGTAAATGATTATTCTCATTATGACATGAGAATAATGCTCTTCTAGTGGTAAAAGATCTATTAGCTCAAGGTCCACTGAAAAGCTTTCAATCTAGCTGTCCTTTCTGTAAAATAAATAGAACAGCAGCAATCTCTGGGTATTCCTTAAACAAACTATGATGATTCCATTTATATTAACTGGGCCTTAAGTAAATGACTTCTTCCAAATAAAAATAAAATTTTAGAAAATAATTAATACCACTGGCCCTAATTGTTTTCACTTGCTTGCAAATGTCTAAGAAATTTCCCCATGAAGTACAAATTGAAAACTAACAATACTTTCTAACTTATACATAAGCCAAAGTGCTCACTCTTACCATGGAAGCAAAATTTGCTCCTGAAAATAGTCTACAGAAATAATATGTAAACACATAGAACTTTGAGACAGACTAAGAACATCCTCCTATGTTTTATGGAACAAAATGCAAAGGTCTCCCTTACCTATGTAAATGACCACTTTCATTAACTTGGGATATACTGATATTACACGGCTGTGTGCATACCTATGGAACACGTGCACACCTACACCACAGAATAAATCCTGACAATGTTTCTAGTGCCAACATATACTTTCTAGCCCCAAATGCTGGAAAGCAAATAAAAACTTAATATGAAAACTACTTTTCCTTTTTATAAATCAAGTTTTTAAGTGGAAAAACAGAGCCAACACTCCTCGTTGTAACATGGACTAAGCTCTAAAAGGTTCAGAGTCAAGAATCTCTTCAGTTGTTCCCCAATGTAACAAAGCACGTAAGTTTTCTCTATTCAGGAAGTCTGATCATCTCTAGTGTTTTGTCGTAAGAACTGCTTTCCAAAATGTGAAGTAGCCATGCTGCTTAAATTCTTTCTGCTGCCCACCTTACACCCGATGTAACCATACAGGTTGGCACCTTGTAGCACCACACCCATGATAACCACCGCCACCACTCTACTCTGAAGGAGAAGAGTGCACTAAAGGCAAATATCACCCACAGCACTGGACAGGCAATAAGTCCCAACCAAAAGATTCTCGATTCAGCCTCTGACACAGTTTTATTCTCTTGAGAGGACTCCTTTCTAGATTCAAATACCCAGTGGCTCTTTCCATCTTCAGCAATGTGATTCCACCAACGTAGGCCAACCATGAGTCTACCTGCGACATTCTTCACTGCCCAAAAGTCACACGACAAGATAATTGTCACCATACAGGTAATAAAGCTGATGCTGAGCAACTCACAGAGCAGACAGACGACCATTGCACTGAATCGAAAGAACAAGTGGAAAAATGATGCTACTGGATGTCTGATTTCGGATTTTCTTGGTCTATTAGTCGTTTCCTCTTCTGCATCAAACAGTGAAACATCTTCAGTGTCATCATTACTATCCTGCTGCAACATGGCGGCCCCAACTGTAACTATTTTTACCGAAAACACCTGTTTCACAAGCCTCTCCACAGTAACACCACAATCTCCAAGAGCTTAGTGTGCTAACAATGGTTTAAAGAATCTCTAGCGGGCCAGGTGTGGTGGCTCACACCTGTAATCCCAGCTCCTTGGGAGGCCGAGGCGGGAGGATCACAAGGTCAGGAGATCGAGACCATCCTGGCTAATAGAGTGAAACCCCGTCTCTACTAAATACAGAAAAAAAAAAAAATTAGCCGGGCATGGTAGCAGGTGCCTGTAGTCCCAGCTACTTGGGAGGCTGAGGCAGGAGAATGGCGTGAACCCGGGAGGCAGAAGTTGCAGTGAGCCAAGATCGCACCACTGCACTCCAGCCTGGGCAACAGAGATTCTGCCTCAAAAAAAAAAAAAAAAAATTTCTAGTTATTATTTAGGTTGATTTCATATTCTTAAAATAATGATGGAATAAAACACCTTGTATCATTCATGTCTGTGTATGAACTTTCCATTCTAATTAGTAAGATTTTTCAAGTCAGGAACACAGTAACTCACTCAATTACCTAAAAATATAGTATAAAATCAGGGAGAGAAGATTTCCCCTTGTTGGTCTCCTTTTCTAGAATTTACCACATACTTTGTGCCCATTAATAGGTGACTTCCATTGGCAGCTGCTCTACTCCTGATCCACAGAGAGCTGACAGTGCATCCAGATGTGGTCCCTGAACAATCCCTGCTGCCCAACAGCACTGACACCACGGGACCCTCACCCCGTCTCCATCCATGTCTGGTGTGAGCCCTTCCCAGGACCATGCCCGGTGCCGCCTCTTCCCAAGTTCATGTCACTGGGTCACGAGAGATGGAATCTAAGCGAGATGAGAGGGATTGAGGGAAGGCATGGGTGAGTGTGAGCAAACCTGTCAGACAGGACGCTTCAGACTCAGAGAAGATTCCCAACTCCAAGGCCCAGCGTTTCAAAAAGGAAGGAGACAGAACAATCCACCGAAATATCATCTCACCTGAGGAAGAGCCATGCCTGACTCCTCTGCTTTCCTCTTCCTTTTCTGGGTTTCTTCTTCACATACCAAGAGTCTTTAGAAGTCAGTCCTGAATGTTAAAAATACGTTGTTTATTGCTCAGAATCAACACACCCCGTCCCTGTAACACAACCACACATATAAAGGAGACCCCACACTGAGGAAATATGGTCCCCTGTGCTGCCCACTGCCCGAGACAATAAACTCCTACAGGAAAACTCCCGCACCCTCCTGGAGAAGTCCACACACCCTGCAGCAGTGGGGAGCTTGGCTGAAATGAGCACCTCTTCAGGGCACAGACGCAGCCCTGACCAAATGCCATGCAGAGGCTTGGTGCAGTGGCTCGTGCCTGTCATTCCAGCACTCTGGGATGCCGAGGCGGGTGGATCGTTTAATCTCAGGGGTTTGAGATCAGCCTGGGCAACATGGTGAAACCCCATCTTTACCAAAACTACAAAAAAAAAACGTAGTCAGGCATGATGGTGCATGTCTGTGTGTCTATGGTCCCAGCTGCTTTGGAAGCTGAGGTGGGAGAATTGCTTAAGCTCAGGAGTTTGAGACCAGCATGCCAACATGTTGAAACACTCTGTCTACTAAAAATACAAAAATTGGGCCGGCCGCAGTGGCTCATGCCTGTAATACTGGCACTCTGAAAGGTCAAGGTGGGCAGATTGCTTGACGTCAGGAGTTCGAGAGCAGCCTGGCCAACATGGTGAAACCCCGTCTCAACTAAAAATACAAAAAGCAGCTGGGCTTGGTGGGTGTCTGGGAGACTGAGGCAAGAGAATCCCGAGAATCTGGGAATCTGAGATTGTGGTGAGCCAAAATCACGCCACTGCACGTCAGCCTTTCCCAGGCTGGTAAATTCCATCTAAAACAAACAAACAAGCAAAAAATCAAAAAACTATGTAGACCAGGTTCGGTGACTCTTTCCTATAATCTCAGTACTCTGGGCAGCCAAGGCAGGAGGATACTTTGGGCCCAGGACTTTGAGACCAGCCTGGGAACACAGTGAAACCTCGTTTCTACCAAAAAACAAACAAACAAAAAAAACAATGATGGGCTTTTTGGTGGCTCATGACTGTGGTCCCAGCTACTCAAGAAGCTGAGGTAGGATTACTTGAGCCCAGGAGGACCAGGCTGCAGTTAGAGATCATGCCACTGCACTCCAGCCTAGGCAATTGGCCAGACCCTGTCTCTTAATATTAGTTAATTAATTAAGTTAAAAATTATGTGACAACAGAAAGGAATTTTGTTCCCACTTCACTGCCCCACTCCCTACCCCACTCTGGGAAAAGGGAACAGAGTGACTCAGAAGTGAGTAAGTCGCTCCACTCTGGCTGAATAGGGATTCCAAGTGGAAGCTAACCTCTGAGGCCAAGATTTATAGAATGTACATATCTTACAGATAGGATTCTTAAAACTCTCAATCTCATCTGTATAATTTAAGCAAGTTTTAAGTTACTAGATTATATACAAAGAAGTCAACATGTCATGACTAATCGTATCCAGTGAGCGCACCCACTCATCTAAACCCAAAGTCCCCCACCCCTTTGTTTCTTTTGAGACAGGTCTTGCTCTATTGACCAGGCTGGAGTGCAGTGACATGCTCTCGCCTCACTGCAGCCTGGAAATCCTGGGCTCAAGTGATTCTTCTGTCTCTGCCTTCAGAGTACCTAGGACTACAGGTGCGTACCATCATGCCCAGTTAATTTTTTTTTTTGGCGGAGATGGGGGTCTCACTATGTGGACCAGGCTGGACTCGAACTCCTGGACTCAAGCAATCTTCTTGCCTCAGTCTCCTAAAGTGCTGGGATTACAGGAGTTAGCCACTGCGCCCAGCCCCTCTTTCTTCATTACTATGCTTCCCTTTCTAATTCTGTACCTATCTTTCATTCTCCCCTTCTCTCTCTAGCTCGTTTTCTTTAATTTCGCTGGGATTCTGCTCCTCATTTTGTACCCCTCTCCTCTTCTGCTGTTTATCCCCTTCTTCCCTCCACTCCTTCTCTTCCACCTCTTCTACTCCATCCTCGCAACTTACCTAACTTCTTGCTGCTCCTTCTCCCCAATCGTTCGATCATCCTCAATCTTGATATATTTCCCTCTCTTCTCCCATCTTTGTACCTCCTCTGCTCTCCCTGTCAAATTCTCTCTTCCCTGTTATACCTCCCTGTCCCCACTCTCTGGAACCCCAGTCCTCAGGTATCCTCCCTGCTGTGGTTCTCCTTCTGTTCTCCTTGCCACCAGCACCACTCTGCTCTGTCTGCCCTGGCTCCAAATGCCTCCTCCTCTCCCTCCCTCTCATGAGCCTCCCTCTTTGCTGCCCCTCACTACATTGCTGTCCTTCATCTCTCTGTACATCTAGCTTTGCTCTACATTTCTCCAGTTGCTTTTCTCCTCCTGCTTTCTTATCGTTTTCTTTTCACTTTTGCTGTCTCCGGGCAAATCCCTCACCCATCCTCTACTTTGCCATCTGTTATGGTCTTTCTCATTCTTCTTTTGTCTGTCTCAGGTTTTCTACTGCTCTGTCTCCTGAAGCCCTTGACCCACACAATCACAGGAGGGTTTGGAGTAGGAAGCCTGCATCCCGGGGGAGCGCATTTTCCAGCGGCTGGAGCTGGGCAGACAAGAACACCCCATATCACAGGACAGGCCCCGGGAACCTCCCCAACGCGGGCTCAGGGGAAGCGGTGACTGAAGAGGGGAGACCTGGGGAACTGCAGGGCCCGGCACAAGGAGGGAGGTGGGGGCGTCTTAAGACAAGGGTGGGGGTCTGCAGGATTCCAGGACCAGGCAGAGGACGCGGCCTCCGTGGGACTGAGGTCCCTGCGCTACGCTCCAGTGGCCTACCAAGCCCAGGGTGGGAGGCGCCTAGGGAGGGAATTCAGCTTCCCGGTGAGGACTTTAAACAGCGCGGGGCGGGAGGAGTCAGAAAATGGTTTTGAGCAGGAAAACTACGCGACAGGAAGTGTAACATTGCCCTATAGCAGAAAGACCGGGGCCGGCCCAGCCTCAGGGCGACTTTAAACCCAAAAGGAAGAGATATCCGGACTCTCACGGGGACGTCTCAATTTGTCCTGGGTGAAGGAAGAAGGGCGAGAATTTCCAGGTCTGTAGGGACCCCACGTTTCAGGTATAGAAGCGCAGGGGACCTGGTAAGCCCAGACTTAATACAAGAGCGAAACTCACCGCCGCGGTCTGACCTTCACTCCACCAAACCCGCTTCCGGGTTTGCGCGAATCTGCGCACGCAGTACGGAAGCCAGGTCTGGGCGGGGGCCGGGAGGAGGTGGGCGGGGCCTTGAGGAGTAGGGGCGGGGCGGAAGGCGGAGAGACTTTCCTCTTTAGAACCAGCAGAGGGCGGGGCCAGGGCGGGAACTGTGCCTCTCTCAGCCTCCTTCTCAGCGCGTCTGTTTTTCGGGTTTTGGAGGCGAGACCGACCAGGAAGGCTGAGGCATGATTCAAAAGCCCTGGAATTGTCTGGAACGAAGATGCAAACTAGAATGGGAAATGCAAGGCCCTGCCTGGGCGAAAAGTACGATTTCATGCTGACGGCCCACAGAACCAAATAGAAATCCTCTCCCTTTCTATTCTCTCACTTGGGAGAGAGTCCACCCTGTGCTTAGCTTCAGAGACTCAGGTCACGGCATGAGATGCAGGACGGAGTGCTCAGGCCAAGGAGAGGTGAGGTCACCACCTGCGGCTTAGACACAGCAGGGATGCGGGCGCGGGAGCGGGAGCCTGAGGTCCCAGCTATTCAGGAAGCAGCGGAGGGAGGATCGCTGAGCCTGGGAGTCCAGGCCAGCCTGGGCGACAAAGGCTGGCCTGGACTCCTCGACAAACACCCCCTCCCGCTGGGCTCCCTTCCTCGTCTCTCTCTTTCTCTTGCTTTTTTTATAATAGCATTTTTGATGCTGTTACATAGGGATCCAACATTATTCTTTTCCACGTGGATATCTAGTTAGTTGTCCCAGCGTATTTGTGTAAGAGATCTATTACTTTTTTTTTTTTTTTTTTGAGATGAAGTTTTGCTCTACTTGCCCAGGCTGGAGAGCATTGGCGCGATCTCGGCTCACCGCAACCTCCTGGGTTCAAGCGATTCTCAAGCCTCAAACTCCCAAGTAGCTGGAATTACAGGAACGTGCCACC